TATACCAGGCTGGGAACGTATATTGGCCCACCTGACGACCAAGGAATTACACCGCTCTGGAGCACAACAACTCGTCGACACCTACGCAGCTTGACTAGGCTCGATCAAACACCCCCCCCTCAAAGATCCCGCTAACGGAAGCGGCAAGCAACGGAAAGGAACAAGCACACACACAGGGACACGTAGATTGGTCATGTGATCTACTCCCATACCAGACAGCCGCGTGAAGAAGTATTCGCGCGGCAGTCAACAATCCCAAGTACCGTCCATACGGTTCCCACGACCAACAACCAAGGCATCCTCAAGTCACCGGAAGAGTGCAACCCAGCCCCACCGATGGGTACACAAGGTGAGAAGAACCTCAGCGTCAGCGGACATTCGGAGTACCCCCTCCGTTAGGCGGTCTCCGAGGCACTGTAGCAAGCTGGATAGCAGCAGACAGCAATTCCTGCCAATCCACTCCGCCACGAAGCCATAATGGCGCGTTGACGTTGACCCAGAATCTTGTTGATTGACTTAAAGAAGTCAGACATAAAGCCTGGCTCTCGATCATGCCGAATCATCTTGCTCGCACCAAATCTGCGGAAAACGCATTCTTCGTAAGTCTCAGCGATCATTTGTGCAGATCTAGTGGCGCTGGCCTTGGCGATCACATATCCAGAGAATAGATCCACGACGATCAACAGCTCTGTGTTGCCATTGGAGGATCGAAGCAACGAAGGTATGTGATCCATGGCGATGATCTGGAACGGGTACGTTGCCTGAAGGTTGCCAGGTGATTCGCCCTGGATCCGAGGTCGTTCTTTGCCCGTTTCACAGTCAACACATTCTCCAACATAGCGCTGAACGCTCTTATACAGCTCTCTCCAGTGGAAGTGATCGCGGATCCGATCATAGGTCCGACCAATTCCTTGATGACCACCCTGCAAGCTCATGTGGTAGTGATGCAAAATATCCTGTTGAAGAGTCTCAGGCACCACCAGTCGCATCTACTTATCCCGATCCACGGCAGCCTCCCTAGTCGTCGGGCAGTAGAAGAGTAGATACGACTGATCCTCTTCGTAATTCGTGGCGATAGAACCAAATATCCTAACGTCTTCTTGTGTCAGATCCCGAATTTCTCCGACCAAACACTTCTTTAGCCCTGAGATCCACGATTCTTCATCTTGTGCTTGCCAGATCCGCTCGATCCGTAGTTCTCTTACAACTTCCTCGCGCAATGAACCTGGATCAGACCCCATGCGTACTCCGGATCTAGCTTTAGACCGGGTCATTACAGCAGATATCTGGACAATCTCGTCTTCGATCTTCACTATCAGGATCCCATCCAAACGGTTCAGAGTTACTAGATCCTGGATCTCCTTTTCAGACTCGACCTCGATCCCACATTGTCGCTGCAGTGATGTGCTTGCTAAGCTGTCAGCACTCCCATTCCAATCTCGTTTGCCATGTAACAGCTCATGTTCGGGCCAAACACGTAGTCGATCCAGAGCCCGCTGGCGTAGCAATGTCAAACCTGGTGCTCTACAGTCGATCTCTTGTCGGATCATCAGGTTCAAGTCTCAGCAGATCACTAGACGTCGTGGATTCAGATCCTCCAACAGATCCAAACATAGTAACAGTCCATGGCATCCCGCCTCGTTCACCGTCAAGCATTCGGCGTATCCAGATCTAGCCTTCAACACCCTCTATTCAGGTAGCTTCCACAAGATCGCGCTGTAGGCGCCTCCACCTCTCTTGACACGAGCAGATACATCGAAGCTAACGACTTATAGATCCTCATCGCGTCCAATAGTGGGGGTCAGAGCTTGGATCTTGCGTCTTGGCTCCTTTTTTGGGGCAATCGAGATCAATGCCTTATCCACTTCATATCTAGGGGTGATACTGGCTGCCAATGCTCCCAGGATCTTATCTTCACCCTTGACGCACTTGGTGATCTCGAGTGTCCATAGCGACAGTAGAGCGGCCCACTGACCTAACTGTCCCTGCAAGGCTGTGGATCTGAAGAACCACGCCAGAGTTGAATGTCGGGTCAGCACACGGATCGGACGTCCGACCAAAGCGTTGTAGTTAAGATCTAGGATCCGCAGCAATGCTAATACTTCCTTTTCCGAAATACCGTAATTCAGCTCATTTGACTTCAAGGTACGCCTCGTAAACATCACGGGGTAATAGATCTTGCCATACTCCTGCATCAATGATCCTGAAATAGCCCAGTCGCTAGCATATACTACAATCGTAGCACTTCGATCTGGATCAAAGTGCCGTAAGATCGGAGTAGTAGCGATCTTGGCTTTGAGCGAACTGAAGGACCGATAGGCGTGGATCCAACGCGGATCCACTTCAGTAAGATCTTGCGCCTCCAGATCCAAGGTCTTCCGGTGGTCGATCACTTGATCTTCATGTGATCCCTGATCCACACTCTCCACCTCTAACATCCGTTGGATCTGCGCTTGGGTGGTGTTTTTCATCATCGCAGCGAAGTCGATTTCCCGTAACTCGTACAGGACCGACGCATAAATCGCATAGTCTTCGATGAACCGGCTGTAATAGTTCAAACTTCCCAAAAATGACTGCATAGCTTTGAGTGATCCTGGGAATGCTAGATCAGTCAGTGCTGACAGATCCTTCGGATTCGCCTCCAGTCCATTGAAAGAGGCCTTATGACTGAGATATTCCACCTTAGGCATTCCCCAGAAACTCTTAACCACACTGATCGACAGATTCCACTTATCGCACACCTCGAGTAGACCTTCGACGCGATCACATAGTTGATCCCAGTTATTGGCTAGGATCCGGATGTCGTCGATATATGATCAACGCCCAAGCACTGATGACTTGCCTGAATCCACCGGTTCCCCGTTCTCAAACACATCCAAAGTACCTCCGTGATCTTCAGGCATCGGGGTACGGGTGAATCCATATAGTGCGTTGTCGACCATACGTTGATAGATCTGGAGCGCATCCTTCAAGCCGAAAGGCATCCGATTCCACTCAAATATCCATAAGGAAGTGATAAAAGCCGAGATCAAGCGAGCACGATCCGTCATTTTCACTTCCCAGAATCCACTCGCCATATCCAAAGAACAGTACCAAAGAGTCGACTCCAGTTCTTCAAGTAGGTCGTTGATCAAGGGCATTGGATAGGTCATCAGCTGACTTAAGCTGTTAACCAGCCGATAATCGATTCACAACTCGATATCCACTCCATTCTTCTTGATGATCACCACGATCAGGGAAGTCCATGGTGATCTAGAGTAGTTGATCATTTTTTCGGACAATAGACCCTTGATCAAGTCTTCCAGTTTCTCCCTGAACTGGATCCGCAACTTACGACACTTCAGAGCGATAGGCTTCGCTCCTCCGGCGTCGATATCGCACACCACACCTCTAGCCGGCGGCGGAAGGGTATTTCCTTTGCTGATCAAGAGATGTCGGAACTTCCAGATCCTTTGGCAAAGTCGATCAATTTCTTCTGGGGTCTGATTAAAGAACCACATAGCTGAATGCCCTCGATCTTCACATCTTCCGTCGTCACAGGAATTTCTTGTAGTAGCGCCATCTGTCCGTCGACATCTTCCGCGTATAGATCACTTCCTTCATGGTAGTATACACATTCATCATAATCTTGATCTAAGTCCCAGGTGAGGTCCAGATCCGGAGTGCCTGGTTGATCTTCAACAACAGGTGATGGATCCATGTCGGTTTTTTGCGACATAGATGCGGCGCCCTTGTCGTTCAATGGATCACCGGTCACATGTCCCGTCCCAGATTGTACACCATCATCGATGGCAGATCCGATCCGCCGCACTTCAACGGTGATGTTCCTTGATCGTGACCTCTCGAATGTAGTTGATCCTGACTGACAACCCCAATTTCATCTCGGTCATCCTCTTCTTGCATTTCCACTACGCCTGTAGTTTCCTCCAACGACGGATTAGTTACCCACACGTCTGATGTTACTCGATCGAGATCTTCTAGCGCCTCCTCGACCGTTACGGCATGCGATATAGAGTCTTCGTCTGCGATAGACGACAGATCCGACTCCTCACTTGCGACAGACGCTAGATCCAACCGTCGAATCTCTGACGGCGATTTGTCCGACGGCGACTTGCCCGACGGCGACTTGCCCGAAGGTAGGCAGTCAGGAATATCTTGATCCTGACTCGCCTCGACCTTCCGACACTGGATCAACGTCGTCTTCGGTCTTTGGAGTATTGCGCGCGGGGTTTTGTACTCGGGTTGCTCCACCACGGGCACCAGCGGGATCTTGACATCCATTTCTCTGGATCGGGTGTCTGTCGTAGCTTCCAACGCTAGATTCTGCCATTCCATGTAACGACGAGAGCCGATCGAGATGAAACCCGGTATCCGTGGAACATGGTCTCCGGCTAGCCAGATCCCGATCCGTTGGTCTTGATGCAGGATCAACACCTAGTCCCCTATGTTGGTGATCGATATATATTTCGTCCTGGCTGGTCCATCGGATATTGTCGGCACCCAACGATCTCCACGCGTAACCCACAACTTGTCGTGGATCGACGATCTCAAGCGCAATGGCAGTTCCAACGACTCTCCTGCTTGGATCCGAAGGTATTGGCCGCCGTTGACGAACTTCGCAGCTCTCGCCTCCCGCAACGCTGGATCCCGACTTCATCCGGCAAACTGATCGATCCATGGGCTAGATCTAGGCGGATCCCGGCTAGGACCATGAAATCCATACCAAGTATAGCTTGTTGACCAGTCAGATCACCCACCCAGGTATCGAAGAAATATACCAGTGATCCAGCGAGAGCTACCTTGATCCGGGTTCTTCCTTCCGTCCGGTACACATTATCACCAATTCCCACACAATTCTGGATCTGGCTCGAGTCGATATAGCACCCCACCTTACGAGCAAAGGCGGTGTCCACGATGGACATCTCAGCGTCGGTATCTAAGAGTAATATCTCCTTCTCATTGTGGATCTTGCCTGTGACCTTCGCTTGACGAAACCATTTTCCTTTCGCATGATGCTTCCAGTAACCCCGAGATTCTCCCGGTAGTAGATCCATGGTCGCTAACCGTCGGTACTCCGAGATCTTGCTAGGTCTCTGGATCTCCGGAGTAACCTCATGATCTGTGGGTTTAAATCATAGATCTGGATCTTGCTGTCTCCAATAACCTCGTGCCTCTCCTGGTTGGAGATCCACACTCATGGCGACTTCAGATCTGGCATACTCGTCGACTTGGCGAAGACTTGAAATTGCGAAGGTGCGTTTCCCATGCAGGTCACGTCTATTACCGTGTAGATCTGGTCTTTTACTAACATGATTTACCGATGTCTTGTTCACAAATGCATAGATGCAGTATCTTGAATGCACGGCTCGTATCGGATACCACCCCGACGAGCGTCCTAGTTTAACATCTTATCTACTCGGCAGCTTCGGGTAACATACCCATATGCATTGTGGGGTTAAACCACTGACGGATCTGGTTATAGAACTCTTCCATCGGACATTTTCCCATGTCATGCAGTTCTCCACACGAAGAGGCAGTGATCCGAGGGATGTCCTCTTTTGCCACACTTCGTGCACGTAACACGCCTCCAGCAGCCAAGATCCGAGTGCTTTCTAGATACGCAGTGTGAACACCGATCGCGGTTAAACCCATTACCGTGGAACTTCAGGTTATGCTCTTGATGGCCATGATCGCGATCTGGAAGAGAGCTGATACGCCTCCGCCAGGCGCTCCCCAGAACTTCATCTTAGGCTCGGGCCCGGACACCGCCAGGACCCAGCTGGAGGAGGCGCGTGCGTTGATGGCTCTGGGCAACAGCTCTGGTGGCATGCTTCCGCCTCTCTCCGAGGCCGAGCGACGTCTCCGCGATTCTCTCCGCTGACTTCGGGAATCTACTGCTCGGGCGTGGTGATCATCTCTCGACAATATTCTGGGCCTCAAGTGGAAGAGCGCCTCGGAATTCAGTCCGTCCAGGTCTCGCTCCCTACCGGCGCCGGGGCTGAGGTGGACTTGGCGACAGCTCTGAGGCCCGTGACGCTCGCTCCGCCGTTCACCTACCTTCCTGCGTCCGCGGAAGACGTGCGGGTTGTCACTTCCGGGAACTCTGGGCCCTGCGATGAGTGGCATATCTAGTATATCAAGCAACGGCACTATGGATGATGCAAAAGATCTTCCAACACATCGGAGCAAGTCTGTGGTCGAGATGGACACTTCTGACAGCGAGACGGAAGACTTACGAGTGACTGCATCTCGTTTTGAAACATGGCACGACAATTGGGACGCGTTTTTCACCTGTTTTAAGACATATCAAAAGCGGACGTCCAAGTTGTATTGTTTTCGTAAGTCGGTTAAAGCGACAGCTCGCAATCAAGTGATTAAATGCATAAAGTCGTGGAGTAAAAATGTGCTGATACCGGAGGCTTTTGGGGACTATTACAAGAAGTTTGTGTGCACCCATGACTGGGAGAAGAGCCACAAATGGAAAGGGGTGCGAACTGGACATCAAAAGAGCAGTACCGGGTGTGCAGCAGTGCTCTGTGCAACTGTTTCGTTTTGTTCTGAGGCTGGAGCCTTTCGTGTCTGTGTTACACAACATAGGCGGACACACAATCACCACTTGAAGAAAAAGTGTGTACGAACCCTACCCGAGCAACCGGAAAATTACCGACCCTGATCTTCTGGACTTCGTCGACGAGCTTACCAAGGCAGGAGGGAAGCCGAAAAGATCCTGAAATACCTACAAGAGACGTCAGGTAAATGCGAGTAATATAAAATTGGCGACTCTAATTAGTGATGTTGTGATTTGTCAGGCAAACGGATCACGCTTCGTGATGTACACAACTTGGTACAGCGTCTTAAGAGCAAGCGTGCGAAGTTCTGGTACCATGGAAGATCGCTCGGAGACTGTCTTTCGTGAGTTTTGCGCCTTTCGAGACAATCAGCTACTGTTTTTGTCCCAAGCAAACACAGACCATCGTGTGGCAAACTCGACAAATGCGGAGATTTGTTGAGGCCTTCCCGAAAGTGGTGATGCTCGATTCCACTCATGGGACGAACGCTTCAAAGTACAGGCCCTTCAGTTTCATGATTGATGACGTCTTCGGTCATGTAAGGAAACCCTCAGCTGGTGACTAGTTAAGGCAGTTACGTTTCAGTTGGCGCCCTAGTTGGCGACTCGTTCGTGATCTGTCGTAGGTATTTTATCATTTCTAATCTAATTTGTGCTATTCACTGTACTTTTCCATGACACTATTGTAGGGCCAATACGTGCAACATGCCTTGGTGGTGAACGAGAGCCATGGGTGTATGAAGGATGCTATCGACGTTTTCAAAGAAAACAATTCATCGTGGGACTGGATTCGCGCAATCATGATCGATAAAGACTTCGGAGAAATCAGTTTACTGAAGAAGGAGTTTCCACTGGCTCGGGTACTAATTTGCCACTTCCACTTAAAGAAGTACTTGGGAACGGAAATGTCAAAGGCTATCAACGGAGGGCATGATGCAGTAGATGTGGATCGCATTGAAGATGCCGTGGATATGATGGTTAAGTCACAGGATGAAAAGGAGTATGACAAGGGTTTACGGTACATTATCTCGTGGATGGATATGATGACCAAGACCAACTTCCGATAGCCAAACACTCCCTTCTGGTGTATTTTATCAAGAATTGGGATTCTTGCAAAGAAATGTGGACATTATATGAACGCGGACACGTTGCACATTTAGGAAACCACACTAATAATCGGCTTGAATCAGTTTGGGGGAGAAAAAAACATCCTTCGTCCAGAAATGGAGTTGGATGAGTGTGTCGAGACGCTCATCTTCTTGCGCTCTACCGCTGAACTGGAGTATGCATCTCAGTTTCATGTTATTGGATCTCGACACTACCAAGTTTGCGGCGTTGGTAAGCTCTCATGCATTCAACCTCGTCCGCCAAGAGTATGATCTCTTCAAAAGCGGATCACTGGACTATGGAGGTCGATGGCTACAAGATGGTATGGTACAACTACAAGGCACAAATCGGTCACAAGAGTCACCAATCAGGTGGGCATGGTCCCCAACCAATTTGCGAATGTCTCCAACCAAATAGTGAAAGTCCCCAATCAGTTGATGAAAAACCCCAATGCGTCGGTGATGGACTCTACTGGTCAGCCCAAAATTCGCAGGCGAGGCATCAAAAGCTTTGGATACGATATTGAATCAAGTTCAACTTCTCAAGAATGTGAGCGCCTATTCAAGATCATCCAGAGTACCAAGAGCAAAGGTCGACCCAAGATCCGGAAGAAGCAACAGCGAAAAACAAAGCGGCTTCGAATGGAAGCGTCGGTGAGTGAGGCAGATGCACTTGTTCAAGGTACACTCGTCCCAGTAAAAGACCTGAGTCTCGTACGGAAGACACTTGCTCACAGCTACAATGTGGTCGATGCACTACCGGTGCTACACAGCACTATACCGGTTGACGCCCCAACATGGAAGGTGACTACTATTGTGCAAATTGCATGAAAACGGAAGGTGCATCGTCAAGTGACAATTGTCTTCCCGAAAAAATATTTGACGAAGTGCCTTGCCGGGATAAAACGTATCGGAAGTCATTGCCAAGCCAGTATGATGCTGGTAAAATAGAAGTTACGATCACGAAACTAGGTACCTACACAGAAAAGGATCCCATTACGCTGAACAAATGGCAAGAGGAAATACCAAAACTGGATGCAATCAGCGATTTGGCCTCCTGGCTAAGACTGTCGAAGTTTGTGCGCGTGGCATTGCCATCACCTTTCAACAACCGCATCAAGGCTGATACGAACGCCTATGCGAAGCAGTTGGAAATGGTGAATCTGAAGACATCTGTGTCTACTCGCTTTGGGAGCATCTCTATTTATGAAGTGGACCCTTTACGACGTTCAGTTTGGCTTGATGATTCTTGCTTCATGATCGCAATAAACTACATGATTGACGGTGAGCTCGGCGAGATTACTGACCGTGGAATCGGTGGAGTTAACCTATTGTTTGCACGCATGTCAGACGACGACATCAAGCGATTGTGGTGAAGTGGATTCCAAGTAATTGCAGACAGGAAGTGATCAGGTCAAGTGGAGCGACAGGTATACCTGGATCTGCAGTGACTACCGTGGATCCAGATCTGAGAAGGTCTGATGGACTCAGATCAACTGATTCTGAGGTGATTGAATCAATCTGGAAGAACCTAATTATAGGTACCTGATCTGGGTATAGTTATACAGAGGTCCCCCCAATAAGCGCGGTGGGTTCAACGATGTGATTTTCGAGGGAGATGGGAAGGCAAAGCGAATGTACAGTTAAATGTTTAAGTAATG